GATGTCATAGGTGACCCCATCTTTGATAAAATTCCTATATTTGATGACGAACGCGATCCTATAGGCTATCCAATTTGCGATGACAATCAAGATTTTGTGGATAAACCAATATTTGACGTTGAAAGAGATAGATGACTAAAAGGAGAATCAGTAGGTGAAGTTAGTTCAGTCGTCGAAAGCACTCATCTAAAAGATGCACATGTGGTGTATTCTAGGTTTGAGCATAGGCAATTTCAACAAGATTATATAGATGAATTAATGCAGTTTCAAAAAGTTTATCTAGTTAAACATATTCTACAGTGACCCTTTCTTTGAGATTTGCAGTTTTATTGCACATTTGTTGTGTTTTGATTAGTGCAACAACCTATAAGTCCTAGGTTCGTGTTTATAATATTCAGGTTGATGAAGATTGCATGACTAACACGAAATTCGTATTAACTTATTACAAACCTTGAGGACGAGTTTTAAGAATGATGCCGATATGATAAATTAATATTTTTATTTTATTATTTATTTTGATTTTCAGGTCTACTTGTTATTTTCATTAGGTTATTTTTTGGGAATTATATTTATTTAGGAGCTAGGGTTACGTTTTATTCATTTTAGGAATGCTCATCTTTGAAAAATGTGAAGAGTAGATAATTATGTTGTTTTAAGGAAGGTTTCTTTTAGATAATACATTGAAGAAGTTTGTCTTAGAAAAAGGGTGAAATAGGATGTTGGAGAAGGGAAACTTATCCTTCCCTATCTTTTGGTTTTTAGGATGAACCTATCTTTTAATGTCTTATTTATCTTATTTACATGCATATCCTTTACTTCTCTTTTTAAGGTAGTACGTTATCTTTTGGCCTTATCTTTAGAAAGAAAAGCTTTATAAATAGAGCGGACATTTAATGATCTTCGCATACCAGGCATGTGGGTTCTAGTTGACACCTTTTCCTCAGCTAAGGGAATTCCATAAAATTGGAACTACAAAAACCGAGGGGCCCTGACCAAGACCCTCCCCAAGCATGTCCCAAAACTAACACCAAGATTTCGCCCTATCAAAGTATACTTTTCCTGGCCTAAGCCACACTAAGGATTACATTAACCTAAGTTGTCCCACTCATGCTCTATTACACTTTATAGAACAACCTAAAAAACCCATATAGGTCCCATCATTAACTAAACCCCGATCAATTAACTTTAAACTCACTCAACGAACATCTAAACTTAGTTGGGAACCCTTATACCCTTGAAATCAACCAATGCCTAAACTAACACAAGAACCAAGATGGAAATACCAAATTTATTAGGATATTTCGTTATTAAGTCCAAATTTGTAGAATTAATATAAGCAGATTTGGTTACTATAATTTGTTTAGTCAAATTATTCAGATGAACATTAGTTTCCCAATATTATTGGAAGGTGAATATTTGCATGTATTCTCTTTCAGCCTTATGCTTGCAGGGGTAGTTCAACCTACCTTGCTCACTAGTCTTTTGGTCGCTCCTGATGGCCCTTCTATCTGCTATCGTTAGCATGCTGATGATACTCTTTGGTGGCTGAAGGACACTTCTCCCAAATCATAGCCCTATGGCTTTTCCTTAAATTCTTTGAAGTTATATCTAGTGCTAAGGTGAATATGCATAAAACTTCTCTTATGGGCATTAATTGCTTGGAAGAGGAGATTCTGGATTGGGCCTCTTGGCTGGGTTACAAAGCTGATTCCTTGCCATTAACTACTCGGAATTCCTCTTTTCGATGGTTGGTTATCCAGTGCTCAATGGACCCCAATCATTGAAAGTTTCCGATATAAACTTGATGGATGGAAGTAAAGGTTCCTATCCCTTCGGGGAAGAGTCACCCTCATCAATGCCACTATGGCAAATTTGCCCATCTATTTCTTTTATCTTTTTAGAGCTCCACAAGCAGTTATTAAAATTCCTGAGAGACTGATAATGAACTTCTTATGGAGTGGATCACAAAACAAGAAAAAATTCCACTTGGTTAGCTAGCAGATTCTTTGTATGCCTAAAAAAGAAGGTGGACTGGGTATCAGGAGGCTCAAATCAGTTGATTAGGGCTTACTCACTAAATGGTGGTGGTGGGCCTCGAGCTCTCATGGTCAATTATGGTTATTGGGGGTTATTGCCAAATATCGGTGGGACCAATGCTACATAATTCCTACAAAACTCCCAAGAAATAGGTCTGCATCTGCAGTATGGAAAGGGATATCTTGTTCTTGGCCTACAGTCGTGTTCTAGATGAAAATGGCTAAAAAAACCAGTTTTGGCATGGAAAATGGGTAGATGATGGCCCTTTAAAATCCCAGTACCCCGATTTGTTTCGTAAATGTATCCCAAAGAATCTTCTCATTAGTGATGTTTCAGAATGGCAAGGGGAGAACATCAATCTAACCCTCTCTTCAAGAAGAGTTAGCTTTGAAATGGAACTTCAATACCTACAACTGATGTCTAGACTTTACAACTTGTGCTTCTTCCCTTCTAGGGGTGACAAGGTCATTTGGGACCTGGAACCTTTGGGTGTTTTCACAGTTAAGTCTCTCTACAATATATTGTGGATGGACAGATTCATCCCTGCAAATAACTTCTCTAGAAAGGTGTGGTCAGGCAAAGCTCCCCTCAGGGTGAGAGTGTTTATGTGGCTGCTTTCTTGGTGTCTTGTCCTCACCATGGATCAACTTCGGATTAGGGGGTTTCCAATTGTCAATGTTTGCATCCTTTGTAAGCAGGATGGAAAGTGTGCGGATGACATCTTTCTAGACTCCGTATGACAGATTTGGGGCTGGCTTTTACTCAAAAGTAATTGTCATTGGAAGGTGCCTAATAATATTGAGGGCCTATTTCGTCACGGATGGTCCCCCCCTTTCTCCTCATGGTGTCTGGTCCTTCGGCGCCTAAGCATTGCTGCTATCCTTTGAACCATCTGGAAAGAGAGAAATGCTCGATGCTTTCAAGGAAAGGCTGGACAATTTGATATCATTGTTGTATCTATTCTCAAGACTATGTCAAATTTTAAAGAGAGAAACTATATCAAATTTTAGAGAAAGTACCTGAAATTTTTTGAGATAGAAACTATCCCCAAAATGTTTAGAGAGATCTCAAATCTAATGTTTTCAAGAGAGGAAGCATTCTAAAAATTTGAGAGAGCAACTGTTTAAATTTTAGAATAAGAAACTGCCATAAAGTTTTTACAGATAGAAACATCTCAATTACTTTAGAGACATAAATTATCTCAAATTTAAATGTTTTAAAAGAGAGTATGTCGAAACTTTAGAGATAGAAATTATATCAAATTTTAGATAGAGAAACTAATTAAAATTTTTTAGAGAGAAAAATTATCTCAAAATTTGTAGAGACAAACTATATCAAATTTTATGTTTTAGAGAAAAAAAGTATTACTAAATTTTAGAGAGAGAAAATATGTCAAATTTTTAAAGAGAAAGTACCTACAAATTTTAGAAAGAGAAGGTATATCAAAATTATTAGAGAGAGAAACTATCTCAAGTTTTAAGTTTTAGAGAGACAAACTATATTAAAATTTTAGAGAGAGAAACTTCTCAAAATATAATATATAGAAACTACCTCAAAATTTAAGTATTAGTGAGAAAAAGTATCCTAAAATTTTAGAGAGACTAACTATATCAAAATTTAGATAATGAAAATAGCTAAACCTTTTTGGAGAGAGACGCTATATATAATATTTATAGAAAAATTATCTCAAATGTTAAACTTTTGAGAGAGAAAATATCTAAAAATTTCATAGAGAGAAACTATATCATGTTTTATAGATAGAAACTTTCTCAAATTTTAATTTTTATAGAGAGAAAGTATATTAAAATTTTAAAGAGAAAAACTATATTAAGTTTTATGTTTTTGAAACAAAGTATATTAAAATTTTAGAGAGAAAAACCGTATCAAATTTTTAGAAAGGGAACCTATCTCAAAACATTTAGAGAGGGAGAGACTACCTAAATTTTTAATTATAGAGAGAGAGTAATGCTTCAAATTTTGTTACCAAACAATGAACATCGAAATGATTGTGAATTTTGTATTACATATCTAAAAAAGAGATTTGTGGAATCCATTACAAGAATCCTTGATATTACAAATCTATAAATTTTTTTGAGTTTTAAATATCCAAAATTCCAGGCTCTTATAATATTGTTGTGTATTTGGAAAGAAAGTCCTCTATACAGAGCAAGCATTCACTGCATGAGAGAGGGGAAGGGGCGCATGTCCACGTGCAGTTGACATTGTTTCTAACTCCAAGGCCCATTTGGCTATGTTTATTACTGCCCCCCTTATCCTACAGGAATGAATGAGACCTAACGCCTCATGCCAAGTATTTACTATTTATGTTTACCATTCCTCCTCCTCCAATATAAATGGGTCGCACAAATCAAACAAATTCACGAAACCAGCAGTCTTATTGCTTTTGTAGCACACAAGAATTATGGAGAGCCTCCCTCTTCCTCTTGCATGTGCCCTACTTCTCCTTGCGGTAGGTCATATCTCAGTGTGCACAAAATCCACACTGTAAATTATGCGTGCTCTGTACCACTATTTGCGTACTTATTGTTGTTCCTCATTAAGGGGATATTTTTTTTTAATTTTTTTTGTGTGGGAACTATTTAACCCTTAAACCTTAACGCTTTATTTATAGAGAGTGCTTTTCAAGTACCAGTTCCCCCGTTTTGGTATTTGCAAACCTTTTGTATTCTATACGGGAAACATAATGTCTACTGATTTTTTTCTGATGCAGATTAAAATTTGGTAGCTAAAAAATTTAATTTAATTTTTGTTAAATTTATTTTTAGAGTTTTGCTAGAATTTTACTTTTTATTAAATGCCATGCCATTCTTGTCTGCTGATCTCCCATCTTACAACGCTTCTCATTTCCTTCCGCTTCTAGTGAGGCTGTAGAAGTTGGTATCACCCTAAAATGGTGCGAATCGTTGGAAGCCCAAGAGAAATGCCTCACTTCTTTAGAGGCCATGGTAGACTACGCTACCCCCTCTGTTCAGGGCCATAACATTACGATGCTCCACACTAGCATCAACAAGGCTTCTGTGCTCCAAGCTTATACTGCAATAAAAGTGCAGAGAGTGCTCAGTAAGCCAAGCTCCACAGCAGCGTGCCAGAACATGCCTTATCTTTATGCTGTGTACTATTGCCACTATATTGGAGAAGGAAGAATCTATGAGGTGAGCATGAAAGCAGAAGATGGGAGCACAGTAGTAGCAATTTCGACTTGCCATGCCGACAGTAAGGATTGGGCACCAATTCCAATGTGGTTTCAAGCCCTCCCCGTAGCCCAAAAGGCAGATCAATACAATTATGCTTGCCATTTCTTACCTGATACCCACATCATTTGGGCTTCTGTTTAACTACCTATGATCAGATGAAATTTTACATACGCTCTCATACCTATATGTTTGAATAGCTCGTGTCACCTATATGTTTCAATAAGAACAATGTATGCAGTGTTGAAATTTTACATATGCTCAATACCATGTTGGATTTTTAGAAAAGCTCTGATACCACATTGGAGTTTTTGGAAAGGGCTGATTATAGGAGCGCCTAACTAGAGTAATGCTCCCGCTCCGGAACCCATCTCTGACCCTCTGTGGTTGGGATCTCGACCAAAACCCATTTCAATATTTTTGAGAGCTCGCTCTTATTTCTAGGATTCTCGATCGAATTCATAATGGAACTCGATCGTACAATTGCATAGTTCGCGATCCAACTTTCACATGGAATGTGTTTTTTTAAGTTTTAGATCTCATGCCCCCACTCATGTGCGATATAATAGTGTGATATAATACGTGTTAACACAACATAAAAAGTTTGTACTACCGATGGAGTAAATTGTTGTTTCATACCACCAAGGAGAAACCTAAATTACTCTTCTATAATGAAATATAAAAAAGATTTATTGTTCGTTAGAGATTAAGACAAAAAGAATAAAATTATTAGAAACATTTGGTATATTTAGCTTTTACATAATATGGACGTGCGGGTTCACATAAATATATGATTTTAAAAATCGATAGATTAATATTGCATTTAATGTATGTAATGATAAATTTTTTTTATTAAAATATTAACTCCTTTATTTTTGCATTTTTAAGATGTGCATTAAATACGTATATAATGATCAAATTTTTAATTGTTAAAATATTGAAAACCCCCACTCATGTTTTAGTATATGAGTTAACACGCAAAAAGTTTTTGCTACTGATAGTGTAAATTGTTGTTTAGTTCCATCAAGGTGAAACCTGAATTATTCTTCTATAACAAAATATAAAAATAGATTTATTGTTCATTAAAAATTTAGACGAAAATAATAAAATTATTGGAAACATTTGGTTTATTTAGATTATATATAATATGGTTGTGAGGGTTTACAAAAATATATGTTTTAAAAGAAATCCATAGATCAAATTTACATTTAATGCATGACATGTTAAATTTTTATTATTAAAATAGTATCTCCTTTATTTTGTATTTTTAAGATGTGCATTAAATGTGCATATAATGATAAAAAAATTAATTACTAAAATATTGGATGCCCTTACTCACGTGTGTAGTTTAGAATACATGTTATTTTAGAATACATGTTAGCACAGTACAAAAAGTAAGTTTGTACTATTGATGGAGTAAATTGTTGTTTATTGCCATCAAGGAGAAACCTGAGTTACTCTTCTATAATGAAATATAAAGATAGATTTATTGTGATAGATTTATTGTTCATTAAAGATTAAGATGAAAAGAATAAAATTAATGAAAACATTTCGTTTATTTAGCTTAACCTTAATATGGTCACAGAAATATATGTTTTTAGAAAATAAAATAGATCAACTTTACATTTAATGTATGAAATGAAAAATGTTTATTATTAAAATAGTATCTCTTTTATTTTTTATTTTTAGGATGTGCATTAAATGTGTATGTAATGATCAAATTTTTAATTACTAAAATATTCGATGTCCTCACTCATGTGTATCATAAAATAAGTGTTAACTCAACACAAAATGTTTGTGCTATTGATGGAGTAAATTGTGGTTTAGTACCACAAAGAACAAACCTGAATTTCTCTTTTATAATAAAATATAAAAATATATTTGTTGTTAATTAGAGATTAACATGAAAAAATTTAAATTTTATAAAAACTTTACTTTATTTAGCTTTTACATAATATAGCCTTGCGGGTTCACATGAACATGAATACTTAAAGTTTTTTTTAATGATATCCTTTATGCCCATCATTTCCATTTCCATTTCACAGCAAAGTTTTTAATACATACCTTGCATTTAATGTTATCATTTCAAAATGTATACTTGTTTGTTGGGAGGGCAAAAAGCGAGATTCAAACCTTTTTGAGAAAGGAATGGACCTCCATCATTTCAAAATAACAAGGTGGCCTTTTTTAGATAAGGGCATGACTCAACTTTAAATGGGATCTCTTTCTTATTGTCAATAGGAGAGCGATCCTAATGAACATGGGAACACGATCTCATTATAGGAAAATAGGGCCAAATTGAGACTAGGCCTAGCCTGGCCTGGCCCAATCTCGGCCCGTTGCCAACCCTACACTCTGTGTTGGTTGCATAAGCCTACAGTATCACAAACAAACACATCAGTGGATCAATAACTACTACTTACAACCACCTCTATGTTGAATCAGGCATCGCAAACAAACTAGGAAGCAAGAAAACGAAGTGCAAAAGGTTTCAAGCATGAGATCATCTTGAAAGAAAAACTCTGAACTAGATTTTTTTTATTTTTGTTTTTGTTTTTGTTTGTGTTTGTTTTTTTTTTGTGTCCCCGAGCTGTACACAACTCGATGGGTACTCGGTCAAAGTCTGATTGGACTTGGTCGAGTCCAGAAATAGTACATTGGTAATTGTGTTTTTCAGCAACCATGAGCTTTGAATATTTCAAAACGTAATAATTCAAGATGAGCAAAGAAGACAAATAAACTAAGATCGGTTGAGGGAAGCTAGCCATACTTTTTGAATACCTTGCTTGCATTGTTAATATTCCAACATCTAACTAGCATGAGTTATTTTCATAAAGGTCGCCCTAGTTATTTTGACTGCATCCTCGGATCATGGGGAATTAAACATGAGCCCAAACGATGTGAGTATCTGGTAAGAAATGGCAAGCATAATTGTGTTGATCTGCCTTTTTGCCTGTGGGGAGGGCTTGAAACCAGTATGAAAGTGGTTCCCAATTCTTAGTGTGAGGATGGCACCCTGCAATCGCATCCACTGTGCTTCCATCTTCCCCTTCCAACTTCACCTTGTAGATTCTTCCTTCTCCGATATAGTGGCAATAGTACACAGCATAAAGGTAAGGCATGTTATGGCACAATGTGGAGCTTGCTTGAGCAGGCACTCTCTGCACTTTTGTTGCAGCATAAGCTTGGAGCACAGAATCCTTGTTGATGATAGTGCGGAGTACCGTAATGTTATGGTCCTGATCAGAGGGGGTAGCGTAATCTATCATGGCCTCTAAAGATGTGAGGCATTTCTCCCCGGCTTCCAATGATTCGCACCATTTTAGGGTAACACCAACTTGTACAGCCTCACTAGAAGCGGGAGGAAATGAGAAGCGTTGTAAGATGCGTGGTAGCTCCGCAGAGAAGAAAGGTACGGCATATGCATCCTCGCGAGAAAAGAAAGGAGAGGCACATCTGAATTCCGACTTGGGAAAGTGGAGAATTTTGTTCATTCCTACTTTCAAGTCCTTTTCTAAGAAGAGGGTGGTTTCTCTTGGATCACGATTTTCTTGAGAAAAGTCGGAGTATGGGAAGCGGGGGTCGCGATTACGCAAACCCATATGCAGCAGTCCTGATGGCACGGGGCGAAAGCGGGTGCGAATAGCATCAGGCATTGGAGTGTTAGGGAGTGCCTGGGCCCAGTACCTCTCTGGTGTCGCCACAACATGATAATGGCTAACCCTTGCCTGCATGCAGCATTAACAAGCAGTGAAGATCAGTACTTAAAAACTTTCCATATGTGAAGGATTATACTTGGTTTTTTTTTTTTAGGTTGATAGATTGTTACCGTTGAGAAGTGAAAAACATTCGATGCGCATAAAGTGTATCCACTCAAAAGCTCACCTTTTTTGTTCTAAAAACATTCGATGCGCATAATCAATGGAAGAAACATTATTGACACAAATGTTTTGCAAATGCCTTGGGGCACTTTTGGTAACCCTGAAAGTATTTTTATATAAAAAACTCCCTCTTGTGGTAAGGTGTAGAAGTTTTTGCTCATCACATTAATTATCAGCCAATTTTATGAAATAACTCTTATATTTAACCACATAAGATAGTAGAAGTTTTTGCCTATCACATTAATTAGCAGCCAATTTTATGAAATAACTCTTATATTTAACCACGAAAGATAGTTCTTTCATGTGAAAATACTTTTACGAAAGCATTTAAAACTACCAAATATGCCCTTAAAGTACAAATCCATTCAATACAGAACATATGAAACACTACACCATATAAAAGGTTTTCCAAATAATAATATTGAGTACCAAATATTTGGGCAATTAGTAGATGACCCATTGTCTATGGTACACAACATGCGGATTTTCAAAGGATTTTGTTAATGCTGAGACATAACATACCAGAAAGAGAAGTAGGGCAAATGGTAGATGGAGCCTCTCCATGATTATACAAAAGCAAAGAGGATGGTGGTTTTGTATTGTGGTGGAGTGAGGGATTCCATTTATACAGGAGGGGTACATTAAACATAGGCAATGTGGCATAGAGAGAGAAAGCGTTTTCAGTGCATGTTGGACAAGCGGCCATTGACCTCTCTCTCTCTAACGTGGTGAATCCAATGGTTGGTACGAGAACTGCTTTCCAAGTATGCAAATAAGCCACGATCCAACCATCATTAAAAGGAGTGGTGCATGGGGATCTTCACTGACCAATGAAACGACGACTTCTCTCTTCAATATTTTGGATGCTACATTACAAAAATGTATTAAAAAACTTAATGTTGATTCATTGGAATAAGCACTTAAGTAAATGATTTCATTGAAAAATATGTACTTAAGTAAATGATTTCATTAAAAAACATGTACTTAAGTAAATGATTTCATTGAAAAATATGTACCTAGTTATTAGATGGGAAGGTGGACGACTTGAAGAGTGTCATAAAGTTCTAGGAATTTTATTTTGGATTTTATATCAAGGTATACATTCAGCCACCCAATTAAAAAGATTTTGACCTCGTTATGCTAAAAGAAGCGTCGGAAAAGTCAACTCGGGTCGACTACTCCGCCTATGCCCCAACCGAGTACTAGTCTAGTTTGAGTAACTCGGCACGAGTTGGAACAAGTATAGCATCTAAAAATTATTAAAAAGATAAAAACTACAAAAAATCCCAAAAACAGGAAAAATATATTTAAATAAAATGTAACAAACCAAACTAATTGTGTTTTAAAAAGCAACAAAAAAAAGATTTTCAAAAATGAGTTTATGATCGGGGAATTTTTTTGGAGTTTTATAAAAAATATGGAAAAAATGTAAAAATCAGCATTCATGGCCGAAATACTTTCCAATCTTTATCAAAATGATAGAAACCATAAATAAAAGTATTACAAATATATTTCTTTTCTTTTTTAGGATTTTTTATAAAAAGAAGTTTATATAAAGTTGCATCCTTAAAATGTAGAGTTAAATATGCACCTCAAAAATCCATCTGAGAATGTTGTTATTGTTGAAAACCCCTCTAATTAGTCATATCGAGATCAGCATGTATTAATATGAACAAAAAAAAAAAAGATTTTGAGTTCCAGAAATAAAGCATCTTGCAAGACATTATCTAGACCATCCCTTTTTAATATTTTCATATGTTTATAGATCTACTTGATTTTAACTATTTTTTAAAAAAATTAATTAGATATGAAAATAGATTTTCAGATGATCCTAAGAATTTTTTACCAAAATTATATACTATGTTAAATTTGCTGGTGCGCCTTAATTGGATTGTTTAAGGTTGCAGCTTTTAAAAAATCATTCCTTTTTTTATATTTTCTTAGCTTTTTTCTTTTTAAATCCTTTGTGATTAAAACATCTTTTTCTTTGATGTTATTTGATGCTATTGAGAGATCTTAGTTTAGTTAACAAAACTTGTTGCTCCTGTTATTTCTCAATTCATTTTAGAACGTTGCTTGTTGTCCAAAATGCCTTTCTTATATTTTTTTATTTGTTTTTTTTTTTTTTTTGGAGATTCGAAATTTCATAAAAAAGAGCTATTATATGTAGTTATGTTTATGTGGTCTTGTTGCCTAGATTGGGGGTTAATCTCACACGAACACTTGACAAAGCTATTCTTTCGTAAAAGTACTACGGAATACATCTAATTTTCATTTTCAAGCCTATCATTGGGTTTTTATAATGAATATAAGCCTGTACTATTTTTTCACCTTAGAAAAGGATGAAGTCCATATTTTATACGTGTTGTGATGCTTATATGTGAGGTTTTTATTAAAGGATTGAATACCACTATTCTTTCTTGTAAGGAGGTCAATTGCTAGTAGCTATTAGATGTCAAATTAAATGATTCGGATTGTGACAAAAAGTCGGAGGAAATGTTTTTTCAACTCGAAATCCAGTCAATGACATACTTTCAATTATCAAATTTTAAATCTGCAGACAATAGTGAATGTGACCTCTTTGAGTTACAAGTAAATGGTCCCTTTATATGCTTTTCATTCTACTAAAATATAGCTTGTGTGTTGTGAGTTTTCACCTAGGGTCTTTGATTTTTATTAAAACAAGCAATATATTATCATGCCAAAAGATTTTATACTCCCGTTAGAGATTGTCCATTTCTTCCCCAGGTAAACTCCAAAAAGGGCGTAATTTTGGGAATTCAAGTTTTTGGGATACGACTTCTTCACAATTGAGTAACCTCAAACAAAAAAAAAGGGTTAGCAAATTAAGCCCTTTTAAGTATTTGAAAAAAATAAATAAATTCTCAAGATGAAATTGATTGTCCAATCATTGAATCGTGTGATGTAGGTGTCAAAAAACTCAAAATTCAAACTATTCCTACCTAAATAATTATCTACTTTATTTTTTTTCCATGTACTTAGAAAGATCAAATAGCAAACTTTTCTTTCTTTTTTAATTTACTAAGGTTATTCAATGGTGAAGAATGTTGGGTTTATGTGGCCTTTAAAAGCCTTATAAGAGCTTGTATGAGCATTTTATATAGTAAAACATAAACTTCGAGGGAGTGTAGTCATCTTGTGGACTATACTAAGAAAATATGATTTGCCGATACTCGGACTAGGCTCGACGTGCTAGGCTAGCCCAGTTTGAAAAAACCCAAATACCTGGGCATATGTATCTACCAAGAAGGGTTTATTGGGTTGGCCCTTGATGAGGTCGGAGTATGCTTAGATGAGAGTCGAGGAACTGTGTGGCCCTTGCGCGTGATGAAAAGCCTTTAGATACAGGGCTAAAATCTCATTCTTATAGCATCACACGACATGTACATAGATAGTCGTTTTACGATTTGCTAATGAGGGTGAAGCATGTACCTACGCAAGAGATTACTCATATGTACCATAGAGTCATGGTTGCATCATGGTCTGGACTACCATGATTTTTTTGTCTCTAGGAGAGAACCTGAAACCCATAAACTAGGATTGTATCGCCTAGTCGATTGGCTGACTTTGGTGATCTAATAATGAGCCTCTGTAGTGGACTGTAGGTCATGAGAACTGCTGGGTCCATTTGAGAAAGCTATGTGGATCGTGGTCTGCAGTTGAAGGTAGAGTGCTTCCGTATATTGATAAATTCCTAGATGTAATGGATCCAATTCCCATCAAAATTAAATAGTTTTAATTAATTTTAGTATATATAGTATTTAGAACATTTATTTGAATTTTTTAGATATTTTATTTTTTTAATTTGGATTTATTAGTTAAGAGAAATAATTTTTTTCAATTATTTAAATAAAATATAAGATTTAAAAATTCTAAATACAAAATAAAATATTTTCTAAAATTATATGGGACCCTACATAAATGTAAGGGCTCAATTTAAAACATGAGAGATTGGGTGGGCCCACATGTAGCCAGCAAAGGGTGGCGCGCCCCACTCATATACACTAACTTGTTCTCCAAGATTTCGTTATAGTTATCCCTTGTTTGTGGCTTATCTTTTGGGTATAGCTAACTTTACAGGATAAGGTTGAATATTTGAAATATTTAGTAAAGCTTTGAATCAAGATTGATTGATTCAAGAAATAAGGATTGGATATAGTAAAATAGAGCTTTAAGATATATACTTTTTTTTATTTAAAGATTTGATGGGAATAGATTTAGAAAATGGAGGATAAGACTCTAGCTCATTTATTTGAATCTTGATAGTAGATTAAAGAGATAGATGACTCAAATCTCTCACCTCACAAGTCATCGACGGTTAAGATTTGACCCTACGAATTAAGGCAAACTCCAAGGCACGGAAAATTTATAAAAAGAGGCTCTCTGACCTCATAAAATCTCTACACCTATTTTTTCTTCTCTCTTTAAGGTTTTATATCTCTCTCTCTCTCATTTTTAGGTGACATGTCCAAGCTAAGGTTAGCTTGTGGTGGTTTGATTTTTGGGTAGCATAGTGATGATTTGATTTTTGGGTAGCAATGGGGAGGATCCCCTTGCTAGTAGATCTCTCCCTATCTCTTTGATCTATCTCTCATCTCTTCAAAGATCAAACTAGTAGATCTCTCCATCTCTCTTTGATCTATCTGTCATCTCTCCAAAGATCAAGTGAAAAGTACTTGAGCAAGGCTAAGGCATTGAAGATTTAGGTAGTTAGTTCTAGATTGAGATACATGCTCCAAAAATCAAGCCCCTAAACTAAGGCATTGAGGACTTAGGTAGCTAGTTTTAGATCGAGATCTATATGCCATTAAGAGGGTTTTTCCATGTAAGAGAATCAAGAGACTGATCATAGATCCCAAGCACCATCGGAAGGAGGATTCTTTAAATCCTTATTTGTGATTTGATCTTATCTTCCCATAAATGTGCTTTGATCTTACCTTCCCATAAAGCAATGAGTTAAGATTTTGATTTAAAGAATTGTATTCAATAGTGCTAGCAAGTGAGAACCATATTTGTTTTCTTTATTTTATTTGTTTCAATAGTTATTTGTTTGTAATTGGACATTGTAAATCATCTTGCAGGTATAAGAATAAGAAATTTGTAATTTATATACACCGTGCTTGATCACATAGTCTAACTTTCAGAAGTTGTACACCAAAAATTTGAGTTCCTAAAACTACTTGTATATTGGGGTTTACCCCAAAGAAAAATGGGCAGTCTCTAACGGGAGTATAAAATCTTGTGGTGTACATTGAAATTTAAGAAAATTCAGGCTCTTCAATCACAAACTAGAATCAAAGTATTGGTAGGTGTAACAACCAGGTTGACAAGTCAACTGACCTGGGTCTGGGTCTGGGTCCGGGTCCATGTTTCTCACCTGGAGGTCCAAATGACTTCAATTTAACCCATGTTGCATTCAGGTGCGTTACGAACCCTATCCAGTCGGGTCAGATCACCTAGTCGAGTCATTTCAGGGGATTTGACCTAGGTCATCGGCACCCCTAAGTAGAGACAAAAAATAATAAGCACGAACCTCTCTCACA